CCTCCGCGGGCTCGCCCTACCCGCCCCACGGCGCTTTGCGTAAGCGAATGTGCGAAGCAATTACGCCGGGAGGCTCGCCTAAACCTGCCAATTTAGGGGTCGGCACCTTCGCCCTGCCGGAGCCCGTCAGCCGCTTCCAGCGAGCGTTTCGGTCGTGTGGCGTACGGCTGCCTTCCGCACCCACCTCGGCGAACTCTGCGAGCATCTCTTCACCGCTTGTAGCAAACAGAATTCGTATTAAAAATGCCCCCTTCCCCAGTGAAGTTGCGTTTCACGGATCTTTCTTTTCAACTCGCCTGTTCTGAATACGGGATCTGGCCCTCTTAAAGGTCAGGCGGTGCCATTGATCTGCCATTGGCGACAAGATACGGCCCTCGCTCGCTAACGTACCGGAGGAGAGGGATGTGTTTAGAAACGCCGAGGAATCTTTTTGAAACTCACAAACCCGAAATCGTTGACGTGCTGCGTCTGCAGCAGTTCGCTGGCATGGGTTTGTTTTGGTTTTGTTTTTTTCTTTCGCGTTTGGGTAAAACGTTTTGAAAACCCGGCGGCCGTGCGCTGAGCTAGCGCCAGGGTGGGTGCAGCTGGCTGCAGGACCCGCCCGTTACCGCTAGCAACGCTTAACCCGTGAATATTTCCCACTGATCAGTAGGATTTTATTTGAACTGGAGCCGTTCAGAGACATCCCCTTCTTGACGTTTCCATGTTGTGTGCAGCGGGCGGGTGAACCCAGCCCGGTAGCGCTGCGTTCGCTGCAGCCAGCAAAGCCTCACAGGGGACAGAAAATTTAAAATCTGCATTTGTCTGGGCAGGGGTTGCCTCGCTGCCGGGCAGGCGTCAAGAGCTTACGGGCATCGTCAACAACAACAGCAACAAAATCGATCATGTCAGCGTAAAGCAGCAGTGGCCGGGAAGGCAGGAACAAATTTAGGAGCCAAGATTTACCACGCCGATGCACGCCGGGGGGAGGACAAGCGGCTCTGCCCCCACACAGCCAGCCTGGCTCTCCTTAGGAAGTGGCAGGCGCGTTTTATAGAGGTGGTTATCGCTGACCAGGGGGGTGTTAGCGCTCCTTCCAGCTGTTGCACGTCGGTGTGCAGATGTGCACCATCAAACCTGCTCAGAGAGGTGCGGGGTGTGAGCGCCCACGCCGTGCTCCCGGGATCCGTGGCCAGCGGGAGGGTCTTCCGAACGCACCCTGGGCTCAGGCATCCAGCGACGCTTAGGCAGAGCTCGGCAAACTCCTTTTGTAGAAGTGGAAAGCCCGTGCGTGGAAAGCGCCTCATCCCATCGCTAGTTACCATTAAGGTTGTGGAAAACGGGTAAACCCGATACGGTTTTTGGGGGAGAAGATAGGGAATCGAAGCTTTCTTTGTAGGAAGTAAAATGTTTTCAGAGGTCAGTGAGGCTTTCAGTTCTCAGCCATGAGAAAAAGCTTCCCATAGCTCTGCGATGTACCCAGATGAGCCATCCGATTCTTACCTTAATGCATTTATCTGCAGGCGGTTTAGGATAAACGCCGTTCTAAGTATAATGAGGGACACTGCCTCGCCTGACGCTTTTAGGAGAAAGGCTTGGTACATGCGAAGTATTAACAAGTTAAATCCCAGCGTTAATATTTCTATCCCATACTCCAACCGATTTCCAACGCGGCTGGGGAAGAGTCGCCGCCGAGCCGCCCCGGAGACCCTAGGACGGGGGGCGGCCGGCAGGAGACAGCCCGGCACCCCCGCGCCCAGCGCCACCAACGCGCGGGGAAATCCCGGTGACCCGCACC